GTTTCGCGTCTCGTTTTTCCTTGCATAACTACATTGCCCGGATAATCAATCATTACGATGTAGAAGACGAGCGGTGGGCGGGTACGAGGGCTCCAAGTTGAGAACATCGCCTTCGACTACCGATCGTTTCTCCGGAGCACGGCTCATCGATTACGTACCCGCGTATCTTATTATGTAGACGCTGTCTCGCTGGATATATTTAGACAGTTCGTTTCTCGTGGGATATAATGAAATCATAGCAGCCGCGCGGAATGTGACGCGGACGACGCGGTGCGGTGGAATCATGCGTGGAATACGTAATGTCACGGGCGGCGATTGAACATTGAACGCGTTATCGATATGCCGATCTCTTTTCTCTTCTTTCTTTCTTTTTACTTTCAACGTGAGACGGACGTCGCCGTCGTGCCGCAATTAACGACGGAACACCCGCGAATGACCCGTAATAACGAGTCGCGGTGATCGCGAATCATTAGGAGTTGATCATCCCGCCGTTGCCACGGCACGGCCGCTTTACTCACGCCCTTGTTGCGGTTACGTGCCTGGGGTTTAAGAGAGGACGACCTAGAACCTGAAACCGTGAACTCGCTTGCGATTACGGGGTCGAGGTGAAGAGGCTCGCCCTCTCCCGGAGGTTTTAACACGATCGGGCAGCTCGTTACGTATACGGGTATAGCAGTGGCGGGTTCTTTTTTCCCAAGAAAAACGCTCCTCTACACGAGTACGTATTCACGAGGTATTCACGCGCTCTCATGCCCACGTATGTAAAAATAATTTACACGCGGCAACGCGCGCCATTATCCTTACATATGCAGATTGGACGTAAGCGACGCGACGTACGCGCAACAAAGTGCCCTGGTAAGGCTCGACGAGCTTAATACGAGATTTATACCTAATGTATTCGGACAATTGCGCGGAATGAAATGTAATTTTGTTTTCAGCGTATCACATTATGGTGTATAGTATTCTTGAAATTTTTATTTCGTCTTATTTTGCGTTTTGTATCGTAAAATTGGTTGGATTACGTATAGGACGACCGAAAAATGCATCGTTGCCGTCGTAACATTTAGCTGCTCTAAGAAAATTAATCAATAGCAAAGAGAGAGGATCTCGTAATCGCCGAAGGCATTTCGTTGCCTCGGACAAGTGCAGTCGCTTATTCAGTCTCGCGTAATATTGTGTCTCTCGAACTACAGAGACTGGCGAATAAGTGGTCGAATCATTCGGTTGAATGATTGAATCGTGAATCTTTATTAAAACGACCATGGTATCTGGCCGATCCGTTTCTAGAGTAATTACTCTATCGGAGGTTCCGCTGAAATGAAAATCTCAGTCGTTTGCGTCGAACGCTCCGTGTATATTTTATAATACCGTTTCTTATCGACATGTTAAGCTTTGGAAAACACTCTGGACGCTTCGAATCGCTCGCGCTCGCAAAAACTCGCGAGGAAGCAGCGCGTTTTGTTCCTCGCGAGAGGAAACCACGTCGGTGCGCGTTTTAGCTGGAGACGAGCGTCTTCGAAGAAACGGTCGACGGAGAATATAAGAGAGAAAGAGAATGAAAGAGAAAGATAGAAAGGCATAGAAGAAGCGAATGGATTTGCTCGCCCTTTGCCGCCCGTAGAAAAAGGGTCGGCTCCGGCCGGAGACCTTGGGTCGGAAGAGGAATGCAAATCGAGACCGGTCACGAATATTCTAATGTGCAGTTAGTCCTTACACGACGATTGCGAGAGAATCGTCATTCGGTTTCTCCCATCGGCCGCGATGGCCACGATTGCACCCGGGGCACGTGTTTGCGCGTCCAGAATGTTCATGACCCTCGATTAGATGCTTCGCGTGCCTCCGAATAAGCTGGAACGCTGGAAATGACGATGTCGAATCTCGTTACGACCGACGTATTTGCGGTATTTTTAGTATCGTAAACAGGTAAACGGCTTGCCGTCCTTTTTCAACGCTCGCAATGGCTACTCGGTTGCGTTAATTAGGCTAGATGTATCGAAGACTAACCGGCTGAAGAGAATCGTTAAAGACCGTTCAACGTTTTCGCTGGAAATGTTATTTTCGTGGGGCATCTATATATATCTTTCGTCGAACTCGCAGTTTTTTTTTTTTAGACGTTTTGCTGGCTAATTTTGTACCGGATAATTTAATATACAAACATTCAAACGCGTAATGCGCTTTCTTTAGTACACTTTTGTGATATACAAAGGCGTTTGTGTGACATCCATAATGCGCTACACTGTTATGCACTTTTGTTGCGTGCGTAACGATGTTGGCGACGCGTTACGAAACGACAAGATCGCCGCGCGCCGTGAGAGCGTGAGATTTAGAGACGTGGAAACGAAGTCGAGAAGGGAAAAACGTCCGCCGGCGGTTGCACGATCAAACCCCGGGATAACCCTGGAGAAAATGCTGCCAGGCCGTGGAAGAGGGGACGGAGATAGATGCGAGCGGACATGATGGTAGTAAAGTTCACGGAAGAAATACGCGATACGTGGAAGAAGGGCCCTAGGAAAGCAGAAGTTCCCAAGGAGAGGATTTCGCTTTACGATCGCAAGAACGGACCGCGAGTCCTCGTTTCCGCTCGTCTCTTCTTCGATTTTGTTCCGTCGGTTATTCCGAGAATTCTCGCGATCCAATATACTACGGCTTCTTTTTTTTTTCTTTTGCATGGCCGTTCTTGCAGCGCTATTTTTCTACGGCTAGATTTATGCCTCGTTTACGCAGAGGTCGTAACGCCGGACTGGACTTAAATGGGCGGAAAGGCAAAGTCAGTATAACAAGTCTAATGGCTATCGATTATCATACTTCAGAGAATCTCGTGATCGACGTTCGTATGAACAACTTGCGCCGATATAATCAATCAAAGCGTATAAAGCATCGACAAACAAATTTTCAATTAGTTTTTCAAACTTGATGTGGTTTCAGCCATGAGAAGATTCAAGTATCCACAGATCGTTTTTAAAATACTCGCGGTATCACGTGACGTACGAGCGGTATCCTTTGAACGTTTGACACGGAGCAGGTCCGAGACGAGTGGTCGGTTACGTGTAATTTGTACAGGATCTCTCTTCTCCACAGAGGTGAGAGAAGTTCGCAGTCAAGGCTCCCTCCTCGAAGTCATTGACATTGGCGGCCGACACGAAGAGACTGATGCTGCCCATTATATCGAACGGTTAATAAAACAGCGACACTCTCATTGTACAGTCATTCAATCATCGTTTTCAAACATATGACTCACCGCCGTGAGTTCTTTCTACATTTGGACTCGCATTATCTCGATCTATGAATTTGAAAAAGGTTTTTAAACGTTCGGAAATTGCTAAGCGACTACTAAGCGCGACTACGTTATGGAAATTTAAATAAAGATTTATTATCATCTCTATATAGCTGCGGGCGATGACCTGTTCCTCATAGTCTTATTTTAATTTTAGTAAAAAGTGTGAAAGGTCTCTGATATCAGATTTCCTGAGTTTAAATTTGGAAAAGGCGCGAGCTTCCCGCATTCAAATCTCATCATCTCGAGCCCTCAGACGGAACAGGGACCCGTTCGCGAATGCTCTCGTCCGTCAGATGTTGAATGTTCTTAATGGCATTACCTGACGAAGCGCGTTGTGCTTCTCCGCGCGATTTCGTTTCGGTATACGCGCGCGGCGCGGCGCGGCGCGACCGCTTTTTTGGCGTAGCATGCGCGCATGATGAGATCTATTATCTCGAATGACTGTCCTCTTTCGCCGTCGGCTTCTGCGAACGTGACGCGCCGGTGAACGTCCTCTCTCTCTCTCTCGGCGGGACACCATCAAGCGTACCCTGTCCGCGCATGGACGGCAGTCGTCGTTCTCGCCATATGCTGTCGCGTTTAAATCATGTTAGATATAGAAATAAACAAACCTTGCGCTGATGTTAACAGAGGCCAAAGGTATATCTGTCGGAAAATTTCTGAATCGACTCCTCCACGTCCTTTCGCGGAACTTGGGCGAAACGCGTCACAGGTATTCACGCGCCGCGACGTTACTTCACCTCGGCAGAAATGAGCAGCTACCTCGAAATAAGCTATCTGTTTGATATTCGACGTAGATCGAGATATTAGCGCGGGACGATAGGCATGTCCCCGAGAGACGTCAAGACGAAAGCCGTAATTCAAACGGCGGTCTTCATCGGTCGTCACCTGCCGTGCCCCGCTATTAGCTATGCGCGACGCGAAGGCGTCACTTCCTTCGACTGGGTTTCCGGCCGCCGGAAACGTCCTTCTAACCGCGGTTGAATCCTTAAATGAAAATGATAGATCTCGCGGGGTCCCCTCCGCTTTTGTCAATCTGAAAGGATATATCGATGATCGAGACGAATCGTCGGCTGCGCCGCGCCGTCGCCGCGCCCGCGCCGTTGCGTAATCCATTGCGCGTACATTTACGCACATAGATACGCACGTAGAGACATATTTGAAGAGAATTTTTCTGGCAAACGTTAGGAAATTACCGGATATATTTTATGTCGCGAATCTGAGCGAGCGTCTTAGGGGAAATTGGTTAATAAATAATGCTCGCAGATTACCTCTCTCTCGAAGAGACGCATAAATATTTCCGCGATATTCTCGCGCAACGCAAACGCTCCAAGACGTTAAAATTACCTCATTTACGGAGTCGTTCGGAACCCATAGGCTCCCCATTCACGGGATATTGAAACGGAGCGAAGCTGTAAAAACGAGTAAGAAATAATATATGTCAGATCGGAAAGAGCTAGCTCGGAATTTCCAGTCTCGCGAGATAGTTGACGACGTTACACGTTTACGATTGCATATAGCGAGTGGGATTTTTAACAATTTTCAGCGTTTTAACGATCACGACGTTCGTGATCGCAAAGATTCTGCAAAGTGTCCGGCTAGAACCGGTGTCCGGTTTCTTTTATATACGAGAGACGAGAGACGAGAGTCGATTCCTCTTTTTCGTTGTCGTCTGTTTTTGAATCTGCAATCTCTGCACGACGTGCTTTCGTTGTGTCGGCAGCAATCGATACGGTCTGACGAACGAGGACCTGAACCGACGTTGGAGCAGTCCCACGCGGACGTATCATCCGGTGATCTATCACACGAAGGGCCTGATGGAGTATTGCGCCAGGGTGCTGCAGAGACCGCCCCACGTTTTCGTCGACTACCACGGCCATTCACGGAGGAAGAACGTGTTTCTGTTCGGTTGTTCAAGGTCGGGTTCCTGGAGCGCCGCGGACAGGGCGAAACCGGACCAGCCGGTGCAGTATTTGGTAAGGGAATCGACGGAAGAGAATCGAGGCTAGGTAATATTTTTAGATCTTTAGATCGCGGCATCATTTATCCTCTACGTTTACCTGCCAGCGGGCCGGCCCGACGGACGTTTATCACTTTCAGCGGCCGTCCTTTCAACGCGAACTTTCGATTTGCACGAGCAATTACTCGCCGACAGCCGCCTATTCGTTTCGCGCGTTGCACGTTAATGTCATTACTGTCATTAGTCAAAGTGTTATCCGAGAAAGTGCTCTGAGAAAGTGTTTCTCTCTCTCTCTCTCTCAGATCACGGGACCTTGATTCTCGTCTCGAAAGCCTCTAAGTAAGTGCGATCTCGTAATCTTTGCGACTTTTTTTCTGTATCAGATGTTACCGCATCTCATGCAAAGGACCTCGCCGGCTTTCGCTTTGCAGCTCTGTTCCTTCAAGGTCGAGAGGAACAAGGAATCCACTGCCAGAGTCGCTGTGTGGCGGCAGTTGGGTGTTCCGAGGTAAACGACAGCTAAGTATATCCTGGGCAGATTGAGATCTGGCTCGTAATAAGATTTCGTGTAGCAAGGTCGAGGTTACGCGTGTCTCGCAAAAAAGATCTGTTCTTTTGCAACTTAAATATTATACGCCATTTTAATATTCAAATTAACTCGGTAAAACATTCCCCTTTTACATTTGGTCAACATCACTGATACTGCGTCGCTGTGATTGAGAAAAATGTCAATACACCCTGCTACTTAACGTTTTGTTCAAACAGAAGTTACACGATGGAAAGCAGCTTTTGTGGATGCGATCAAGGCGTATTGGCGGGATTACATCTCGATACGGAACATCTCAAAGCCATTGGAAGAGATTTCTGCCAAGCTTTATCTATGATGAAGGACGGCGGTGATGATTGGGCTATTGGAAAGTACGTGCAAATATATTGTTATCAATTCATTCTTCACAGGAGTATAAATCGACTTAAATTTGTTGAGATAAGATTGGTTGAAACAGAATATCTATTAAAAGAGAACTTGTAAAATATCATATATAATCGGCGAATGATCTTCTAAGATTATGATTTTCGATGAGAATTTTTTGTTTTTACTTTTTTACGGGCTGGAATAAAAGATTCTATAAATTAATATGTTATTCAACATAGATCGACAGAGCAAGCTTGTTGCCCGAGAATGTGTGTCTTACGAATGTCACGGAAGATACCGAAATGTATTCAAGATAAACACGCTATACATCATACCACGGCACTTTCTTAGCAAACGAGATAATTAAACAATTGTAGAAGGCAAGATTTGTGTGCGACTGTCTGTGTGCGCGTATTGCTAATTTAACGCTTTCGCTAAATTGTTCTACATCATCGATGCATGTTGCCCTTGCCCCCATTATTGATCAAACCAACATATTTTTGCAAACTAACGATAATAGCTAATAATAAGTGAAAAAGCTGTTATTTGATTTATATACATCGACAGTTCATTCATTTAATATGTTTCTTGTTAATTGTGCCTGTTATTCCTTTTAGAATTCCTTTGGAGAAACATATTCCCGTGGAATCAAGATGCATGGACAATGATGTATCTTCCAGTAGTGAATCCAATGATTCCGATTTCGAGACTTAGGGGACTGCACCTTAGTCAATCATCAGAGTAACTATTTCAACGACAAAAGTCATTATGAATATTTGCTATTCTGCACTTTTCAATTTAAAATTTAATACAAAAATTATTTCCATTTTGAATAAAATAGTATAAAGTATAGTACAAAGCAATACTTCGCAACGAGATATTTCAAACAATATTTATTTAAAACTGGTAACAAACATTTAAAGCTATTCTCTATGAAAATACTATCTACATATCATATAATAAAATCTATTTGTACATATCTCGAAAATCAATACTTCGGAAATTAAATTCCATGGTGAAAGAGATTATATGTTCGCTATAGATTTAATACGTGAGAGCACTACTTAAGTTAGTATGGCCGCGTATAATTATTTAGCTCGGAAATAAAATTCTCGAAAGTTGAAAATATATCACAATATTACCATCTAAGCAGTGATAGAACAATGACATCTAGGAAGCTTTACATTTTTGGAATATTTGAATCACCTCTAAAAGTAAACAGGTTCAGATAATACCAAAAATAAGGGAGCTGTGTCATTCCCTAATACGGTACCTCGCTCTATACTTTCTACACATAACATATGATTATATAAATATAGGAAATAAATGTTAATGAGTTGTGATTCTCTGTAAGTTTATCAAACCTCGCCTGAAGACTTCCTGAAGCGATTTTTTTGTGTTCCATTTGAGTTATCTTTAATTTTCGACAAGATTTTTACATGCGTATCAACATAACGCCAATTATAAGTTTTATTAATTTTAGATATTATTGCGTTGTGCGTTTAAATATTTAATATAATTTTTTCAGAACAGTTACATGTAGTGACACATGCCATATCATAATCCGGATGATAATCAATGAAGGAATTTATAATAATGTGTGGAATTCGTAAATGTGTTGAATAAATGTCGGAATAAATGGTAATCTATGTTATTAGAACAGTGCAATTTTGTAATAATTACGTATAAATACGAAATATCGCAAAAAATCGTATAATATATTAATATCAATGTTCAAATTCTGAATGCAGACAAAGCATTACATTTTATATATCTCCATATTGCAGAATTCATGGTGATATTGCTTGCATCACAACGGCAACGTTTCTTTATTATTCGAAACAAATTTTTAATAAATAAATTCTTGATAGAAACATCTTGTGTCCAATTAAGCGTAGTCAGTCATATAGTACTTATACACTATGTACGTATACATCATTTTAAGATCAAATAGTTGTCGTTATCGAAATTTCACGATACACATGTATCGTGCGGATATACCTCAAATCGCATCATCATCCTATAAAAGTTGGCAATAGTGGTATTTCATTATAAATAATAAATAATTTTTTTTTGTAATAGAGGATTTTCAAAGCTGCTTCTCGCAGACTAAATTATTCGTAATGATAATGTAGCTTAAAAAAAATTCGTTGATTAAATTATGATATAAATTGTGCCCTGTATAAATGTTAATTGACTGAATCAAAATTATGTTGTACATGCTAAAAATTACGCGCTAAGGCCACGAATCAGTTAATTAAAGCAACGTTAAAAATAGAATACGTTAATTTGTGATCACAGTCTTTTGTGAGACTCTATCTAGATTTAAGCAAAAACATCGGAATGAACTTCGATAGTATTATTGTCTGTTTGGCGCGTTAATGATCTGTAATCATCGTATAATCCACCTTACCGAGAAATAACTTAACGCCTTATTACAAATATATAAAACTGATGCAATCCAAATTTGTTTCATACAAATTATCAAGAAATCGTCATTGTTTCTAGTGTGCGTACGTGCACATTTAAATGAAAACTAGAGTGAGATTGTAGCCCTATTCCTATCACATTAATTGCTATTTCCAACGGTGTAAATAATTTTTGTTGGTCAATGATTAATCTATCGTTGAATAATTCGACGATAAACACCGATATTCGCTGCACACTTGCATTTAGGAAAACGAACGGAAAAGAAGCAGTAATACGAGGACATTTATCATCAACGGTTGAAATCATATCTTGCGGCGGAATATCAAGCCTCCAATTTATCTACGTTTAATTCGCACGGTTTATCTAAGCGAACGCTAATCTTCTACGGAAGTGTGAATTTCGATAAGGTAACACAAGAGATTACACTTGATTTTATCGCTCTTTGCACCGGTTCGGCAGAATAATCGGAATCGGTAATCGAGGATCTTACTCGACGTCGTGTAGCTTTTTCATCTGCAACTTCATCTGTTCGTAGGTCACCCATAGTACGATGTTCCAGGATACCAAGCGCGCGAAACTCGGCACGAAGCCCTTGTAGAATGCGGTCGGACCTTCCTGGACAAAGGTCTTGATGGCGCAGTCTATCGCGCCCTTGTACTCACCGGCGGCGCTGTTCATGTAACGCGTCTTTATGACGTCTACGGGACTTGCTGTTAGGGTGGTGCAGAGTCCTGCGGCCGTCGCGGCGGTCAAGTGACACGGTATCCCGTCGCGAAGATAACCGCTAGCTAGGATGAGATCCTTGATGATATCGTAACAGACTATCTCTGCCACGTTCACGATAACGTTCCGCGAGACGTTCGGCATGGTTCCTACGTGTGACGAAAAATAGCGGACTCGGATTACTTTCCATTAAAAAAATGTCTTATTTTATTTTATCTATTGTTTGTACAATAATTTCGATGAATGAAAAAATAAGTTTTTAGAATTGAGCAATATTTCACGGGAGGACTCACCTTTCCAAAGACCTCTCGCGCCTTCCTCACGAGCGATATTCTTGTATGCCTGTAGAGTGGAGCTATACCTCACCGATGATCGTCTGATATTTCCAGCCTGCATGCGGATCTTGACGACGTCGGTCGGCTGAGCGATCAGCACCGCCAAAGCGCCCGTCGTAATTCCTGCGGAGACGCGTACGCCGATGTTCATCGACGTACCGCTCTTACTGTTACCTGTTGAAATAAAAGCGTGCGATGAAGAATTACGGCTGTCGTGTAAGATCCAACGGATAGTTAAAAAATTAAGAAGTGAGATAAGATGGACGCGAATTGCGCGTCGATCACTTTTTATTGTCTTATTTAATATTCTTCAATTACGATCAATAATGAGATGTCTTCAGTATTCGCAAATTTCTCAGAGAGTTCGATGTTAATTACGAACCATAAATCGTTATCGAAAATGAATGATATATTTGTATAAAAATATAAATAGCTATATAATATCGGGATTCTATTAAAAATTCGACATTATAAAATTTGCGTATAAATTCATTCTGTCTTATTTTCCGATGGTGTTATCGATGTTCGTCTACATATGCCCGACTTACATACAAAATAGATTTAAATTACAATAGATTGCTTTAACTTAACATAAATTATATAATTTACATTTAAAGCAAATCACTGATAGTTTACATAAATACGGGAGTCTAGAACGAATCATTAAATTAAAAGGAAAAACATTTGGAATATGTATTGTATTGGTATATACACCAATTTACGAATTGTAAACGATCTACAGAATTCTGCAAATTTATTTTTACACATGTTTCTGAGAACTTGGGGAAGTAATTGTAAAATTCACAAATGTGACGATACCGAAAAGCCCCAAAAGCAATTGAATCGCAAAACTACATATATGAACAAAATTTGGGAAAAGTCTCAGCAATTTGTCAAAGATGAATTAGTTAGTTCGTTACATCTAAACAAATATATTTGCAACAAAAAGGTTTGCAAAAAAAATTTGAATGCCATTTTGGCGAATCAAAACTGTGCAAGCTCTTCTCTGCAAATGTAAGTAAGGTAAAGTGCATAAATATGTAACAGCCTTACGATTGTCCCCAGTGCAACGAGTAAGAATTACAAGAGATGTTTGAGTCTCCTCTTTGCTGTATATTCAATCTTTTAGCTCTCCTATTTCCATTTTTTGACCGTTAACCTATCTTTCTTTCAATCTCCCTTTCCTTCTTTCTCAGCCTCGAAAACGACAGAGATAAGAACGAGAAAGAATGCACATTTCAAGCATCCAAACCAATCCCAGATGATCCGCGTTTTCGCCGTGATAAAACGAGTGGCCGATATGATAATTCACCATGAGTACGTGTCCATGTATGTATGTATGTACATATAGTGTTAGGACATTCACCGTTAACTATCATTGTTAATTCAGTGTTCTTTTTAGTATTATTTAAGTTTTCCAATATTATAAAGTTATTAAAATAACTGACAAAAAAATTTAATCATCGGAGAACGATTATATATTTCACGATTTTACAATTATAATTCACTAAATATTGTCTAACACTAATATTGTATACATGTCGTGTGTGTTACTAATACGATAAAAGTTCGTTTTATTATATAAGATATACGGATGTGTGTATGTGTATTTACGTGTTACACATGTTTAAGGAATTGATGAAATTATAACGTGCGCGGCTACTCTCATATACATAGGTATATCATATGAGATATGTTATCAAAAAGTTAGGAGTTTGTTAGATGTACCGTCGAAGATTCCAGCGTAGAGTGACTTCACGCTGTCGTAGAGGCCCAATCGTATGCTGGCGAAACACATCTGTCTCTGGAGTCCCGCGGATAGACCTCCGTACAGGCTCCTGTAACCACCCTCGCTCAAGCTCACCGCCCTCACAATTCACCCTCAAGCGCATCTCCAGGGCATCTTTTTTACACGTTTCTCTTTCTCTCTCTCTCTTTCTTTCTCTCTTTCTCTTGCTCTCTATCTTATAACGTTTTTTTTTAATATTATTCGCCTTTTACGCAAATATTGCGCAACTTTTTCATTTTTTCTCTTCCTCTTTTCCCGTTATCTACGCAATTTCACTCCGTTTTTTTTTTTTAGTGCAACAGATATTTTAGATATTGAATGCTTTAACGAAAGTCAATGCTATTCGTTCATGAAGTAATTCGCAGGTGCGCGAGAGAAAAGAGAAGCGGCTCGAAAGCCGAAAAGTAACCAGGAGAGAGCGTGCATCATCGTCAGCTGGTCACGAATTTTAATGCCGTATCAAAACTCAAACAAGGAAGAAGACATCGATGATTGGGAAAGTAAGTCGTTGCTATATACATATATATACATATATACATATACAAACAAAGTAAATGTTATAAAACCAAAAAGAGAAATGGAGAAAGAAAGAAAGAAGAGAAACTACGTGAGAACTTAAAAGAAATGTATCACGGAGTGGAGATGTGCGAGACGGATAAGCGGATTGTCTTTCGAAATTTTATAAGCATTATCGGAGAGTAACGGCTATCGAAAGATATAAGAAAAAAATTTCGTGACATTTTGTACGGCATGCAAAAACAGTTTACGCGAAGTATTACATCCATTCGTATCAATAATGTATCACGCGATTTATTTTTGCAAAATAATTGATAAGGACGGATCTTATAAACATTCTGCACGAAAGAAACAAAATGCAGAATAGTTGGTCAATTTTGCGAAAAACAGTATGTACTATGAAAGAAACAGAGACACGAAAGACAACCCGTGCAAAATAAAAATAAGAATAATTTGTAAAAATAATAAATTAATAAGAAGAATCGACGGAAATGCCATCGACAAGGCTCGTTATGCTTATTTCGCTTCATATATTTCGACCTTCATCGAATGTAATGCGTAATCCTTGGAAGTCAGTTGCATCCTTCTACCTATTTTGCTTGCGCATAAATTACTCTACATAGGCGAGCGCTTGTCCGTGGCATCCAATCGAAGGGAAGAAATTAAAATCATATTTATTTGATCGGAGATTAATCGCAAGATTCTAGAAAAGTTTCCCAGAATGAACAGTTATTGTACACACATGTGCCAGATATCGAGCGAAATCTCAACAAAAACACGATAAGTCGCGAACATTTTCTCATCGATTCCTTTTTTACTGATATAATACGAGGATGCAAAACACACAGTTAAATAAGTTAAGTTAATCGATGTACATCATAATGGTTAAACAAGGCCATTCTATGTGACATGGTAAACATCTATGGTAAATATCTATTGTAATATCAGATCATATAAGAAATACAAAGAAAAATAAGTAGCTCTTTATATTTTAATTAAATGCATAATTTGTGATCTTACGTATTTTTAAATTACATATGTAATATAGATTGTATTCTAAATTAATGTATTTTCTGCACACTGTTTTATACATATAATTTAATTAATAAACAAAAAACTTAGCTCGATCTGGCACACATCGAAACGAGGAGAAACTGGTTAATAATAATAGTTTGTGTATATTGCGAAAAGTACCGCATATTATCATTTCAGAAATATTGATAGTTGAACGTGAAATAAATATTGGATTAACGTGCGATTGCTTTATAAATATTTTTTATAAGCTTTAATTTGAATCATCGCTCTTGAAAGACAAGAAGAAGATCTGCATTTACAGATTCAGTATATATTGCAATAAATATTAATAATGCAAATAAAAAGTTATTTTACCTACCATCATCTCTTAAATTACTATTAGGATAATGGACAACGTACCTTGCACCTTCACATCTGACGATGTTCACGATGGTCTGGAACAGTCCCGGCTGGCTCGTTCTTACTGCAAAGACCGAGCCTTCCGCCGATGCCAACAACAGAGCCTTCTGAATAACTTGACCTTCTCCTGCGATCTTAAAAAATCACATTTCGATCGTGAAAGAAATAATTTAATTTTCAGAACAGCGAACGGGAGAATGCAACGAGATAATCACGGGAGAAATGAGCACAATTGTTTTTACTTTACTTACCTGCATTCTGACTTTGGCGGTGTCCAACGGAAAAGTGGCTAAATCGGCGATGCAGGCCGCGGTGCCGGCGGTAAGCAATTTGACACCAAGTGAACCATCATCCGACATTCCCTGCTTCATGATTTTCGCTGTTCGATACACTCTTTTTCTCTTTCAAGATTTCTCTCCTCCTTATTATCGCTGATGCGTGCTGGTAAAGGTGTGCGTGTGAGTACCTCGTGCAGGACTGGATAAATTGGGATAAATTTCCGGCTAATTTTTCTCCGCGTGACAAGAGAGATCCCTCGAGCTCGCTCCTTCCCTTCCAGCGGGATCCCTTTTTTTTTAGGCAAGCGATCCTATGTACACTATATACAGAGTCCTACCAGAGGACAGGAACCTTTAGGTGTTCATGAATCCAACTGGTGGTCTTAAAGGCACGGTTCCCTGAAGTGATCGGGATACGCGTGGAGCCCTCCCGACCGCGAGCACTCGTGTTTGATTTCCTGATGGTGAACTTCTTTATACATACTATTTTCCTGTAAACAAACGATGCAAAAAAACGTTGTACAATATTCTGACACGAGAAACTATCGGTTCGATGCGAACGCGATCGACTGTCGACCGCTAAGCCGATAGCCGCTACTTTTATCCCACGAGAGAGTGGGTACCAAAGTGCGATTTGAATGTCACAAAAATGGAGCGGCTGATAAGCGTAAAAGTATACCGAGACGTAATTGCGTCGCGACCGAAGGTAGCGTACTCGATTGCGCATTTATATGTATCGAAGATCAATGACCATCGAACGAGGTGGTGCGCCTAGCGACCATTGATCAGCGTCGAAAATCCATTCTTGCGTGAGTTGCGTGAATGTCTATCGTGTTATCGCAAAACCAAGCACACGCGACAATATCCTGCAATATCCGGATGAAGGCTATCGAGACCATCGTAATGACGTACCGTAATGCTAATCGCGATTAATAACAGATAATATATCCGTTTTCGTCTGCCGTCGTTATCACGACACACGCGTCTCGCCAATTACGTCGACGACGGGTTTCCCACGATCATGTAGAAGCCGCGTACTGCGTCGGACGTATCCTCGTTTCTACTTCCGAAAGAGAGAGTCTTGGCTACGGCATGGCCAGATACCGAAATAGAACGCCATGAGAAGAGAACTTTGGTCGGCTTGGTAACTTGCCAGTACCGGAGGGAGAGAGAGGCTCAGAGAGCTTAAAGGCCATTGCACGTAACAAAGTTTTAGTCATAATCGTAAGGCCGTAAGAAAATAGACCAATCACAATCGATTATTCTTCGAGCTCAAGGAGAATAATCGAGTGAGATTGATTTATTTTCTTACGGCCTTACGATATTATGACTTAAAGCTTTGTTACGTGCAATAGCCTTAATTCGCGATTTTAATGATTAACGTTTCGACGCTTAAACAATACGCATATTGTATAATATCTTGTATTTGTATAATATGTCTCGTTATAATATGTGCCGCTTCGGCGTCGTTGTGCTTGGATGCGGCGCGTCATGTAAGGGACAGTCGACAAAAATAATTCAAATCGCAATGCTAACGATCGTATACCCATATCTATGTCGCGGTATAAATTATTAATAAATATGGATAAGTAGACTAAATAAATGGTAGGGTTCGAGAAAGAACGCTACGCAGCGCGATTGGCAGACTTTGTCCGACCGTTTTGTTTTGTAGAACGGCGTTTATTGAATATCAATCGCGACTGGTTAATCTGTTATTGAGCTTAAACGAGCAATTATACGGCGAAATCAATGCATTGTCAGTATGCAGTATTCACTATATATTCAGTCAACTGAGGAAACACGTCGACGAACTTCGAGATTTTTTAAATGTAAACTCGAGAGAGATAGCTGGCATTTGAAGATTTGTCACTTTATTTCCTTCTTCGACTTTGCAAATGAGTTTTATGGACTACCTGATTGACTAAGTCCCACTAAAACGATCATTTACGCAACAAACGAGCTGAGGGTTCCAGTACATAGTCCAACAATCATCTTGCGTTCGCGCGTTTTGAAATTTACCAACACAAACTGCGTATATATCGTGAGAGAACGAACTTCGTCGCGGTCGTAAAGTATGCGGGGCAAAGTCCACGTTTGAATTATTTTCACCGCGTGACGAAGACATATCGCGTTGGTGCCGTGCCTCCGCAACGTCACGCGTGTTTATCATTGCGAGCGACGATGGGTATGGAGTTTTACTCGAACCGTCATCGACCTTTAATGTTCTTAACTGTAATTTGATGCACCTAATAAAATTTACAGAGACTGGGAACTGTTTCATATTTCAAGAATGTCTACTTCTGCCACGATATTTGATTTTTGAATAACTTTATGTCGCCGGTATAACGTAAATCGAATCAAATCAGATTATTTTTTTTTCAATATAAAGAATTAATCGTTCGCTTGTTGTTGTCGTCCTTTCAAAGAAATCAGGATAGCCTTCGATAGAAATGCGGAATTCTTGCGGTATCCTTGTGCGAGAATACGCCGGTGCGAAACGAAAGACTTGTATATTGATTGTTCCTGTCGCGTTGACAGAAAAGCGCGGAATATATGTGCATTGCACATGGAAAGAATGGGGAGATATTATCGGCATTGTGCTTTCCAATACGAAATTTACCAAAATCGTCATTATGTGGTATATAATAATTATAATACATATATAATTCAATCTTAAAATATTTAATTGTACTTCTTCTATTCCTTTATTTTCTTGAAACTGCATCAGTTGACATAAAATTACGTTTAATTCTTCTTTTTACGGGACCGTTGACCGTTTAATGCAAGGGCGGATTATTTCAGCCTAGATCATAGTCAAGTTCGAGTTTATGCATTATTTTTCAGAGAATCCTCCCGCTTCGAGTCGTCGCTAGAATCGGAATCGATGGATGACGGATATGGGTCATGTGCGACGAAGTAAAATAAAAATCGCACGTGAAAGTATTTGCTTCCGGGCTTATTTGTCGTATATCGCGGCCCGGCGTGGGTGTTTTGCGGAATCGACGTAGCGCGGACATGGTGCATCAGTTGCATCACGTTACGTGGGTGCCGCGTTTCTGCTTCGCCAACGAATCGGCATCGCCTCTCGTTCGTTTCAATGCGACTCGCTAAATTGCTCGCAAAGCCACTGCATGACTCGCGAACATGTTTTTACTCGAACCGAACGATGCCAGCCGGCGCGTGGGAAAACTTCTGTCGCGATTAGCAACTCGCGACATCGTAGACTGCAGGCCACACCAGCCGGACGATTAGATTTTCGCGTGTTACGGGTCGATGACATCAGTCAACGCTAATTGTAATTAGCCAAATATATGCTGGACTATTTTGCAGCCGTTATATTACGCTACAGAAAAAAAACCAAAAGACTGATCCGCAACGAGAGTCGGCATTGATAGAATTAGGACCGTCGTGTGTGAATCACGTTTCTTGAAATCTTTTCATCATTTTTTTAATTACAAACAAAATTAAGTAGAAAAAAAGATCGATATTGCATATCGAACATATTAGCGACTGTTTAAAAACTTTTTTTCTTAGAATCAGTCAGTCGTGTCACACGTTGATAAAATTGATCGTCGATTTCAGCTCTGTTTGTTACGTTTTTTGTTATGTAGTCGAAACTTCTAATAGCAGTCGTATTCGCAAAAAAATCTGCATTGTGAATCGATTTGTATTATATGCAATCAGCTGTCGCGTCTCCGCGGGTTCACACCGTTCACGGAAATAATCGCGGAACGTTATTTACAATGCAGATGTCAGCGAACATTGATTTTCCATCGAATAGTTAAATCCCGTGATAAAATAAAGGTAGGATACGCCAGATATTTACCCACACACATTCACGCACAGGGTGCATCGTTGATGCCGTAATCATATTGCGTATTTCAATATCTGGCTTTACTATAAACGTACGCGTGTTGCAAAAGTTACAATCGGCTTTGAAAACGTTATAAAACACGACGAATTTGCCGAGACATTTGATGGTAATGAGAGAACTATTTCCCCACGGCTAATACATTTAACATTCTTGATAATTGGTGGTATCGTTAAAAAATCAAAGAGGAAGGAATCATTCGGATTTGACGAGGAAAATAAAATGTAAACGCGGAAATAAGCATGCAAATGGAAATGAAAATAGCCGGCCGTTCGACTGCGCGGCGTTAGCGGATTATAACAAATTGGAAAATAGCAAGAATAGTAAGAGAATAAAAATCACGGGCCACTTACCAAGTGTACAGTGAGTGGATAACAACACAACTGAAAGGAGTTGCGAGTAAGCACCGTTTATACCGGCTCGCCGACCAATGGAGGAATAAGATCAAAGTCGATGCCGCCCAATGGATAGTCGTTCATGGCGTCATTTCCCACCAAGGAACGCTGAGCTTGCGGAAATCGATAATTTCTAGAAGCGCGAGCCGCGAGGACGATGTTGAACGGCCTGGCCGGGTGGCGACTGGCGCATACGCTGACGCGCTCTTCGCGGCGCGGCGAGTCTGCTCCGCAATTCCGCATCCCCTTTACAAGGGCGTCGAGGGAGATGCGTCATAGTTGGAGCAATATTTGGTAGCAGATTGCTATTTCCGCTAGAAGAAAAGAAAAGAACAAGAGAGAAATAAAAAGAAATATATTGAAAAATGATAAAGAAGAAATTTCCCATTTACTTCAAAAACATTAAATGCTCATTAAGCCCGATTAAACTAAGTGGATCATCTGTCCCGCGTATTTTATTTTCAACTCAGGCGACGAAGTTAAATACATTTAATGACATTTCGTGACGTCATCTACTTGAATTTCAAGGTTTTAAATAACAATAAAGACACAGTTGCGACTTGCGACAGACTCTATACTCGTAACGTTGCGTAACACAAATTCTTATGTAATAACATTGTATTAGTTTTAACAGATAATACAGAAATATAGGACGTATTTTCAGCTGCAATAATATTTTTGCGCTTATCGGCTTTTAATGTTTTTTTTTGCTGCATTTTTCTGTCTCCTTATGAGGCGTAAACTCGTTTTATCTATTGCGCAAGGTGTGTAAAGAATAACACCATACATATCTATAAAGTGAATCATTATATTTGAAACATATATCTCGCTTAAAATTTCGTCGCATATATACAAATAATTAGTTAATTAAATCGTTCAGAAACGTATATGTTAGATATGTATAATCGATATCTTTATAACAGCAGTAGCAATAGGTTGTATATGAAATATTTTCATTCAAGAACCGCTTATTCAATCCGGTTGATTGGATCAGTATAATATTGTAATATCGCCGGTCTTGTACTTTGACTTTTTAATATCTCGCAGGATTTATTAACGTTATCATCCATTAGTCATTTCAAAATTTTTTGTACAAACTCGTGTCGCTCGAATATAAAAATATTAAAGTAATTATTAATTTATTTTATTATCGTAGCATAATAATTGTTAACTTTTTACCGATTTTTAAAATAAATTTATTCACATTTCAATCCCGGATATTCTTAGAAAAATACATCGCGAGGACTTTTTGCGACAACGTTAAGGAAAACGCGATACCGATTTTCACGGTATTTCTAATGACAGAACAGGAAACAAGTGAGGAGTAGATAGGTAGATAGGGGTAGATTGCAAGGATTCATACAACGATATAACTCGCGTGTGAATTTAGCAGATTGTGTTATAATAAATATCGCGTAAACTTACTTCCTTCGTCGCGATTCAGGTGTTAGCGAATGGCGATAATTATCGCCACGCGGCCCTCGCCATGTGTCTGGCCATCGCTATGTATGTCGCTACCGGGGCACTCGGTATAATCCAGCAAGCTTTGTCGATGATCGGCGTGTTCCTGTTAACTTTACTGGGTAGAGCGATCTTGTTAGTCGGTCACATAGTAACAGGAGACGGTAACACTTCGAGGGAACGCCGAGTTATCAGGGAGGAACGGGAATCGTACACGGATTCTGAGGACGATCGTGCTACCGGGAGTGAAAGATCTCTGAAGTCGAGGCATAGCTCTGAAACAATAAGACCCACTAATAATGCACAAACAATTCCTTCGACTCATGAAACTTCTATTTCCATCTGATACTCGTCAATTGGTATTTCTTTAAATACTACGATGCTTATACTTGTATTAGCCAGCGTGCACAAAGTTCATTTTTTACTTGTCATCATTCCTATATTTCTGCTGTCACGAACTTTTTTCAGATATTGATTATACAAAATGCCATACAAGATTAGTGCTGAGAATATTGTACCTTAAAATACTTGGAAAGAGACATATGTATCTAGTATCTAGTGCAAAAGTGTAACTGTTACCAGTTATATAAATAAATTATTGCAGAAATAATTCCAAAGTAATAACGCAAAAAATGGTGTAGAAATATCATAGCTATATTTAAATGCACGTTCCGCCTAATTAATGTTCCAATCAGTTTTATCTAACACTTAAAAAATTGCGTGAGATGAGTTGACAATTTTTATTAACTTAATATAAAGATAGCAGAATCTGATTCGTTCGGTTTCACAAGATTTTAACTGATAACCAACTTGAGATGAATTATGTATTTATCGATGTCACAATTGTGTGCCTTCGTATATTTATCCTTTAAACACGATAAAAATAATTTTAACTTATCTTTAGAATAAAATTATAAATTTCAGATTTTATTGGATGTGATTAAAGATAAAGTATTATCTTACTCTTAATCTTTGTTCTTTGGTTCACCTGGAAATTAGTCACAAAAATAGTTGCATAATAATTATATTCTTCAAATATGTAAGTATAATATTAATTTCAATAACAAACATTTCGATAATATTGTAGGAAAGCTTTTATATGATAATATAAGTAAGATACGATAATATATCGTAGGAAAGCTCTATAGATAGCTTTATAGATAGTATAAGTGGACGGAATACGTTAATATACATCATAAGAGAAATACTTGTGATATATATGCTTAAATCTAATTCATTTTATAATTTTTATATATGGACGGAACTATATCGCAATAAGTTCGCAAACATATCTAGCGAATGTCATAGCAAATGTCAAATAAAAATACATATATAAAACTTGTATTGTTACATATCATATCGATTAGTCTGTTCATTGTAAAATTGTTAAAAAAGCAGTACAGTTGCAAAAATTATATGTAACTTTTTTAACAAATTCTTTGTGCGTACTAATCTATATATACAGCCGGCAGTGACTTTGTTTAACTTGAAGAATTAGTTTAATCATTTTGTTTCAATATATATAAGATGAGAAAATATGTATCAAACATTTAGTTGACAAAAAAGGTATTTACACAAATCATTTTATAATAATAATTTTATACAAAAAAGAGATATTGCAAAACATTTTTATCAGAATAAATTTGTATTAAGATAGAAAATATGTATGTATGATATATGTATAGAAAGTTTTTTTTTCTTTGTGAAAAAAAAAAGAGAAATAACAATATTTTTTTTCTTTGTAAAAAATTATCTAAAAAAAAATATATAAATACCTTTTTCATCTACTGTATATAAAACTATGTCTCATGTATTAATTAACGGGCATAGTTGATACTGCGCTATGAGGCGTTGTAGGTCGAGAACCAGCAATAGAATGTGTCGTTGATGCATTTAAAGACTGCATTGTACCAATCTGAAACAATACGTTTTAAATTTATATAGTTTATAACTATAGAGTCTTTGTTATGTGTATTATAATTATGGTGTATAAAATATAATGAAGTAAATATATCGTACCCGCAGATGAGCCAGATCTTCTAATCTTGTTAGATCGCTTAATTCGAGATATAGAGAATATACAATAAGCCAACCATATGCAGAAATGCAGATAAATACTATCCATAGAAGACACATCATGATATTGTAGGCAAATATCATGTCGTTTACAATGCTGAAGAATATAAAAGCAAATAGTCGGAAAAGAGTGAAAATGGCAAAACTATACAGCCATGGCACCATTTTCTTTTCATGTTCTTTCCGCAGAGCTGTGATCAACATTAAAGAAGTCACAAAGACGACTATTCCACCCAACATGGAGAACAATGCAAATACGATTAGAGCATTTCGAACTGAAAAAAGAAACAAAAATAGGAAAAAGACAAATAATACATAGTTCTGTGACTTGATTAATTTTTAAAATTTGTTCTTATTTACAAAACTGTCTTCTTTTTTAATTAAAAAAAGAGCTTACCATGTTGACTGCCCACATAGACAAATTCATATGATATGATGTAATATCCATAGTGTGTGGAGCCAGGCGCAGCTTGTGAGAGACAGTAGATATCAAAAATAGCTGTACATATCGTGAAAAAGGCCAGGCACTGTAATAATATTTATTCTATATTACTTCAACCACAAGTAAGCATTCCCAAAGATTGCTTTCGTTAAACGCATACCGATGAGAATATAGCGGTGAACATAGCACCCCTTTGAATGTCAAGTATAAAAGCATGCGTCACTCTATGCTTTTGATACCAAGGAATTTTTACACTGCGAGCGGACCTCGATGATCTGAGATTTGCACTGCTGCGAGTGGTGGTTACATGGGAATACACAGACGGCGTTCCCATGCTGGGAGACTTCTTTCCATAATGCATCTTGACCTACTTGCAAGCAAAATCAAGCACAATCAATCAAGTATCAAATGAAACAAAAGACTTCGATAATAGTCCGTTTATACTTACGAGATTATGGAGACGTTGAACAGGTAATCAGTTACACAATCTCCTTATAGTACGTTATGTGATTAATGATATGTATCTGTGTTTACTCCTTCTGAAACAGAAACATCACATAAACAGAATAGCGAGTTGCGTTGGTTTTATATCTTGCCAAAAATGCTCCAGTTTTTCTTGTATAAATTTATAGTGTTTTAATAATTGAATCATATTAGCAAATAAAAAAAAATGACACAACAATGATATAAATTTAGTAACAAACGTATATTATGACTCATACTGAAAATCTTTATCAAGTTTACAATTTTGTGCTACAATATTAAAGGCACTAGTTAATTACATACACGTATTCAGAGAAATAAACTCACTTATCGCACTCGCATACTTGAAAGAGTACGCAAACGTTTCGTACTAATTTTTCATGTAATGGACACGCCTTGTCAAATATTCGAAACGCTGCTACGCTTGTATGCAATTATACGATCCTCGGGCATGGCTAAAGTGTCAGATAGAGTGGAAGGTGTCAAATAAACGTAACGAAAGAATTGGGTGGAGTGAAAGTCGAAGATCTTTTTCGGATGAGTTTTGGAACGCAGCATAGATGTATTATAAAAATCATTATAAGATAAATAATTAAGTGATAACAATATAATATAAACAGATAGTCGTCAATGTACGAGGTACATTTATAAATAAAACATTTACTGTTTTAATTATCTTATTATTATAATAGTTATAATATTACAACTAATAATAAATTTATAATAAGTCTACTTATATATTATTAATAAATCAATTAATAATATCAATAAATAGATTTATATTAATCTGAATAGAAAAGAGTGTATCTCAAATTCCAATCAACATTTGCAGGCAGAACTGTTTAAAGCAAAATTTCTAATTGCATAATTATATTATTCCTGATCTAATTTTTTCGCTATATTAAACAATTATAAAAAAATTATTAATTTTACTCATGTTAATAAAATAATACAGATAAAGTGTTAATCATAAATTAATTGCGATATATATAATTTATTATTCTTGACTTAATCTTTTTCTCAGAACGTGCGTGGCTCTTACTTTTAGAACCAACCACGCAACGCAGAGTGTTGATAAGACGAACTCAACGGTACTGTCTACTGAACGCGGCCATTTTCCCGAAACGCCCCCATCTAGTCATTTGTTACGTTCGCGGACCAATCACGTTGCGTTCTGCAATTACGCACGCGGACGCTCCGTCTTCCTTTCTCGTGGGAGTGAGGGAGAGCGAGGGAGAATCCGGATGCACACTCGCGTCGCGAGCGCGCGAGTGCTCGCGAGTCGCGAGGGGTAACCGAGGGGTAACGACGCTCTCGGCTGTCGCGTCCATTTTCCGAACACACGAAGCTCGAAGCTCGGAGTCTCGGGAGCTCGGGCTCGGGGGGAACAAATGCGACGAATACAAATAATGGAGTGTGCGTCTTTCGGTTGATTGTTGATATTCGCCCGATTCACCTGTAAACTCGCGAACTCCGCATGTGGCGTACGTCGCGTCGCGACGTTGCGATTGCGAGTCGCGCGCTTCCCGCTCGATGAAATGTTGTGCCTTACGTGTCTCTGACGTTTCGCATGTCCGAGTCCGCGAGTCGAGACTGTCGAAAGTCGAGAGTTGGGACGGATCACGGACACACGGACGACGGACGTTTGTTGTTTGTTGTCTGCCTGTGAACCCCGAGGACGGTAGAGAAAGGGAGCGGGAAGGACTCGCGCGTAGTCTCATTCAACTCAAGTCACACACAAACAGTGTCCGTAAGCGAGAAGGGATCGACGAGACGCGCGCTGCCCGGGCTGCCCCGAGTATCCTGTGATGTTTCGCGAAATGTCAGTTGCCGCTGTGACGAGACTGTGACATCTGTGACGTCTGTGACGCCGGTGTCGTGACGTCGTGGTCGTCGTGAGTACCGCTCTACCGCTGTGACACGAGTGTCACGTCTGATTGAGGTTAGACCCCCGCGGCGCTCCGAATGTAAACCCTGTCTTATGTCTTTATCCCGCCTGTCGCCTGTGTCTCGGACATTGAAGTCGAACTAAGCTAACTTAGACCCACCACTGACTCCTGACTCCTGACTCGAGACTCGACTTCTGTCTCCGTGTCTCCGGAGAGATCGCTGACTACTGGGGGGAGCGGTGGTTGGTGGTTGTTGTACTATTGTGGTGATACATTCCGGTGCTGCGTCTATGCATTGATGTGTGTATATACCGTTTGTGTGTCATGTTCTCATCTCGGTGAATAGGGATTGTAGAATCATGTAAGTGCGCATCCACTTACGTAGCGACTAACTAGGAAGTAGGAATCGTAACTTGTTGTCATGCATCATGTATCGAGGGAGATTTAGGATATTAATACGCGCTGAAAGTTAAGGATAACGCTTATAACGGCACGTGTTCCTTACAGGGCAGATCGGGATTATGATATGGGTTCTGCAACGGAAATGATGGTAAATGATTTTGATGACGAACGAACATTGGACGAGGAAGAAGCCTTAGAAGGTAGCGAGGATTCTCACAACGAGTTGTCCAACTTGCAAAAGGTATATTTCTGTCATATATCTGATATATCGGCACTTTTGCACATATGTATATGCATCTGTCACTTTGTAACAAAATTCTGATCCCGACTATTCTAGGATCAAGCCTGAGAAATGAAAAAATCGAGCCCATAAATAATTACAATTATGATAAGTTTCCGCAACACTTTGGACTCAAAGTGCGTTCTCGTAGTGAGATTCCATGTTTAGTCTCTAAAGTACGCTCGATGTAATAATGATCTATTTCTGTCTCTTTGAGCAAGGAAGGTGATATGCCACTGAAAGATCTTCTTGCCATGTACGGATACGGTGATCCCTCGACGGAGAATTCAAACAGTTCCGATCACATGTTGCTGCCATCTGGAAGCGGCGATCCCGAGACCGAGGAGCGTTACTCGGACAAAGGTGACAACGATGCTGATGACGACGACGATGATGACGAGGCTGATGCAACCAGTAACGAACCGGACCTTAAACAATTCTACACAGAAATGCTAGTAAAGGGGAAGGATAAGTCATCGCCGTTGTCGGGATCCGCGACGAAAGGCAATAGCGGCATTGGAGTAGGCAACAGGGACAGCAGGAAACGTAGAATCGACGACGACGAGGACGACGATGAAGATGTCGAAACCGAGGACTGCTTGATAACGGGCACTCGAAGCGGAAGTGGAAAGAAAACCAGAGCGTCACCTACAACGGGAAGTGCTACGGCTGTTGCGTGCGATGGTATAGTTAATTTAGGGGGAGCCAGTGCTACCGATAGCACTATCGAAGAAGGTAGCGCCAGTGGCGCGATCGATGGTCCGGAAGATAGGATAGTCAGTGCGGGAATAGGTGGTGGCAGTTCGAGATTGTTACGGAGTGTTTCAAGGCCGCAAAGTGAGGAAGAAGAGGACGACTGTGACTACAGTCCAGACGAGGAAGAATGGAAGAAAACGATCATGGTTGGTACTGACTATCAAGCAGCGATACCAGAAGGCTTGTGTCGTTACGACGATGCCTTGCCATACGAAAATGAGGATAAAATGTTATGGGACCCCAGCCATATATCCGAGGAGGATACGGAAGAGTTTCTAGAACGCGCGCAACTTCCTGCGGTAAAGGGTGGTTCGTTGCCGGCCGGCTCACATATTAGAGATGACGAGCAGGCTTTATATCTTCTACTGCAGTGTGGCTACAATCTCGAAGAAGCACTACGAAGACGTCGAATGAACGTGCTTCCTCCTACGGATGCGGTGAGCCTTTGGTCAGAAGAGGAATGTCATAACTTTGAAAATGGATTGCGCACTTACGGGAAGGATTTTCATCTTATACAGAAAAATAAGGTATGTATTATACATATATACATACATTATACACATACACGCACATGCGCGCACGCGCGCACACATACAAAATTAAACTTTAAATTATTAAAGATTGAAGTAAAAATATTAAGACGTGAGTGGAATTCTAACTTATTAAAAATATAGAGCTACAACTGCAATGCTAATAATATTGCTTAATTTTTTCACAACTGTATATAAAACGCTACCATTGTACGATACAATAAAACGCTATTGCAGAATAATTCTTTTACAGTCGAGAACTTTAATTATATCATGTAATTAATTTAATATATTTGTACAAGTCATCGTTGCATTGTGACTCAGTAAATTTTATGGCGAACGTTTCTTCTTTTCATAGGTAAGAACGAGATCGGTCGGAGAGTTAGTACAATTTTATTACTTATGGAAGAAAACGGAGCGGCATGACATATTTACGTATAAAGCGCGATTAGAAAAGAAAAAATATGCTCTGCACCCCGGTATCACGTGAGTATTTTCTCTATCGCAATTCATGAATACGTTTACATTAAAACACGAAAACTTTTGAAATATACTATATGCAACCTATTAGAGAAAATTAAATTCTTAACATTCGATAATAACATTATACATTACCCAATTAACACACTTTACAATTGCTTTCGTTAATACACTTATTGCAAGCGTGAATGACAGAACCATTAAATCGCAAGCAGGGACTATATGGACCGATTCCTTGAGGAGCAAGAGGGAGTGCGAGATCGCAGCAGTTCACCGAATGTTCATTGTTTGCTGTATGGTGATGCCAAGCGGCAAAGATCGAGCACCAGCGTGATCAACAACGACGAGTCCAAATCAGCGGATGCTTGGGATGGAAACGCGGTTGATCCATTGGCGGATGTTAATGGCCCAACACCACCGCCGCCTCCACCACCTCCACCACCACCGCCCTTGGTAACGTCAGCCGCGACTACCATGTCCTCGTCAATATGCAATTCCAGTGCTTTGACCATACCGACGTATTGTTCGCCATCGACTCGTCATCCGGACTGTCCCTCGTCCGAATCGAGTTGTGTGAACCCCCTAGCGTGGAGTGGTATAGTGTCCCGAAGTCAACCTACCTCTTCAGTCATCACAACGATAACGATAAATACCACTACAGCCACTACGTCTACAGCAATGGTCACAGCTCTCGGCTCGACGAATACAGTTACCACTAGTTCCACCGCTCCTGCTGCTACCGTTGCCGCCACTGCTGTCTCTAATAACTACTACCATCAACGAGTAACATCATCCAGAAGCAATGATTCTCACGACACGCCCTCGCCCGAGAACATTTTACCTCATCTGCCCCCTTAGCGTCTAACCCGACCTTCAGGTGTTCATCCTGAAAGGCGACGGATGTCCTTGCGCGGTGTGCCTAACTCGGCACTCGCACCATCGCTATTGTCGTAACGCATAATATTCGTTAATATCAAGGATTCTATTTTTATACTGTATCGCGCGTAATATAATTATTAATCGTCTTTAGCGCGAGTGCGCCATGTTGTATAGTGATGCGGAAAACGGAGGAAGACACGCTTTTGCGTGGAAGATTAGAGCATATGTAAGATTAAAGATACAAATTCAAGATAAACGCGGCAAAAACGAGCGAGGGTCACTGTAGCTTTCTCTATTTTTCTTCTCTCTGTTTATGAACATAGAGATATTCCATGCAAACAGAAAGACACATTTTGAAAAAGACTCGTTGGAAAGCGCCAGTATTCAACAGAGAAGTGAAATAGTATTATACACTGTAAATTTTCATGGATAAATCATTGTATTGCATAATATGTAATTGATCATGATTCAATTTGTCCAAGGCACGTTTGTCCTCGAATCGGCAATAAATTTGTAAAAAGTATGGTATGGAATTTCGCGAAATGATTTCTTAAGTACGACAAAGTGGAATCTGATAAATGTTGGAATGATAAAGTTAAAATGAAAGTCAATAGAAACATGGTCATCGTTATTTTAATGTAAAGGATGCGCGTAAATAGCGATCCTAATAATTCGTTTCCCTCGTTAAGTAGTTGGCTGTGTATAAAATCATATAGTTTGTATTTTCACGTTTTCCTAGCAAACTATTTAAGAAACACGAAATATTTCTAATTTACTGGATACACATTATATTATGTTTAATCATTTATAAATAGTGTTGATATAAAAAAGCACAGGCTAAATTAGAAACGTTGGCCTTTTTATTCCTCATCAATGTTTCATTATAAGTTATAATACATAATACATGAAAGAATGTTACGTTTATTATCAATTAACATTAGCAAACATTTTTTTATCTTTCGCAAAATAACATGCACACAAGTGCTCAATTATATCATACATGCTCAATTATGTCAAATTATTTACTTACAATTATGTGAAAAAGATGGTAGCTTTTAATGTATAAAAACGTAGCTCTTAATGTACTCATCATTTATAATCATCATTCTAGAATGCACAGATCTAGTTTCCATTTCAGAATGATGAATTATATATTAAGAGAACTACGTTTTAAATAAAAAAAATACTGTTCATCGAAATTGTGCCGAGTCCAACGACTCGACAACTGTCTTAAGTAATTTCCCCATTAATGGTAAGAACTGCACGCTGCTGACATTCGTTTTGAAAACGCCAGTAGTGAGAACACTGTCATCGAGTCTTTTCTCTTGTGTTTCAGTTTGGTTCATCTCCATCGAAGAATTTTCGTGGTCGGGTGAGCATACCGGTGCTTTGTCAATAGTACTATCCTTCTGGAGTCTCGCTGGTAAATTCGTTTGCGTCCGATCACTCGTATCCTGAATCGTCCTAGAACTTCTTGTATCTGCGTCTATCAAGGAACCCTTCACCTGCCAGATATCGGGAGTACCGCGGTGTTCGAGAAAATCGAAGAAGACTCCTAGCTCGGTAGCGGTCTCCCGTGCTATAAGCTGACGATCTCGCAAAGTAAGCCTGGGACTTTTCACTCCTTCCAGAGCCTGTGACAGTATCAGGATAAGATTGATTTCTAATGCCAATCGTGTATTGTTCTCATCCATAGACTCAAACCATGGATCGCTAAATCTGTGATTTCTTGCTATGATTGGGCTACTGTTACCCGGAGCGCCGGGAGCCCCACTACCGCCACTCTTCGTGACGTGTCTACCGGTTGCCAAAGCGGTTGCTCTCGAAAGAATGGTATTTTCACATATCAATGGATCGTAGGGTCGACGCAAGAGTCTAGGACTGCTAAGTAATGACACGGTGACATCTAGACCGCTGACGTATCCTAGGAATTCTCCGCCAATGTTGGATGACGTTCTGGAGGTTGAAGCGGAGGCTGCGTGAATGATTCGTCGTAAATCCTTACTCGTATGCATACGCCGGAGATTTTCTGGCGCGGCGCGTTCCCATTCCTTCTTCGCAGAATCCGTTTTATCTTCACGTCCAGATTGCGGCGTTGAAGATGCGGGTAACGAAACAGCAACGGGTTGCGAGCGAGAGTGAAGAGCCTGGGTAAACAGTTGCGTCGAGCTGATGATCGTGCCATAAGTGAGTTGTGGCCCGGAGCTCATGCTCATTTGCGGAGGCCCAAAGTTCATTTCGGCCATCGGCGTATACCAGTAATCCTGAGTATATATCGTATCTACCAGGGTATTCAACTTTGGTGAAAAGTGGACGAAGCTTAGTGCGCAGGTCGTGTTTATGACGATCAGTTTGTTCACCAGTAGTTTCAATTCGCCGCTAGGCAACCGATTATCGCAGGACTCGAGCTCTTCGGCACTCTCCACACTAATACCATCAATGATGAATTTGAGTATTCGCGGCCTCAGCAACAAGTTTACCGTACTATCGTACGCCAGATACATGCACTTGATAAGAGTTTCGCGAACGCTTGGTTGAATTGAATTCCAAACGTATGTTTGCGTGGCTATAGCATGTATAAGAGCGACCAGTGATTGTATAAGATCAGCGGCCAGTAGATCGGCAGTGTGTCTCAATAACGTGGATACCACCATTAATTGGTGCTCGTGAGAATTTAAGAAAACAACTATATGATTAACAAACATCATGTGCGTCTCGCTGCTGACCAGACCTATCAGAAATTCCAAGCCTAGGGTGTACAACGGCCACCAATCCTGGCAACGCCATTGACCATTCGCCGAATCATCGTACAGCGAATCGAGCATACTGTTGGAGATGTCTGTTGGTGGAATCAAGTTGAACCAGAGTTTCGCGACGTCATTGTCGTTGATAGGATACGAACAGTATGGTGAACGTGATATAACACCCAACAAGCTTAGTGCCGCTGCGCTGAACTTCAGATATGGGTATTTTTGAAGTGTACATCCGACGCATACCATCAGTTCAGGTATCATTTGACGAAGTTGCACACAACTGGCTCTTAGACGATGCTTGAAATTGGCATTTCGTTCGACGTATGATCGTAACAGTTGCGTCACCATGCTGATAGCTAACGTCGCTGGTAGACTTTCTCGTATACCGCGGAGTGTCTCTGCGCTGTGACAATCAGCCTTCTTTTGCGTACCTTTTTCATCAGTCTTGAACTCGACAGAGAATCGCTGTTTTCGGTGTTCCAATTGAAGAGCAGCTTCCTTCAATTCCTCTAGTTCACAAATAGCAATCGTGCAAGAGTGCGCTAAAAGATATTCCAGGGTTGCCGAATCCTCGGCTAAAGTACTTTTGACCAGTTGCACGCACCCAAGCAGCAACGAGATCATTGTCTGTCGTAGGGCTTTTCCAAAGCCGCGATAAGTCTGCGCTATTTCTTGCGTGAGTTGCGACAGTCTGGTTTTAAAAATCCTCGAGTCACCGACGCACATCTGTTTCCACGAAGTGATGCACCTTAGGGATAAGGAAGCCAGCAACATCGGAATCTTGCCACTGCTAGAATCGTTGGGTTCCTTCACTCGCTCCAATAGAGAATCCAAGGCCAACTGAGTTAAAAGATGCGCTTGTGTTACGTTAATTGGGTAATTTTTCGCCGTTCGATCGTCAGTGAGCATAACGATAAAGTGATACCAAGACTCTAAATTAATTTCGTACAATGGTTCTATCAGTCTATCTTGCTTTGTACGCGGTTCTTTATTCTCGCCTTCGCCATTTGCAGGAACATCCAGAACATACATAGCTAATTTTTTCCAGTGATCCTTAGACTTGTCCAACAGCTCCTTTAGACTTTTCGAGAAATTATTCTCTAACAATGGGCTTTTGTACAATTCTAATGTAATTACATCTAATAATTGAGAATAACCCTTCGCATCCGCCACTAAAGTTTTAAAAAGCGGTGCGAATAGGTGGCTCCAGAACTTGTCTCGTTTCCGGAAAAAATTGACAAGAATCTCATTTCTGTGATACCACATGGCGCGCAATACCGTCATCGTGCTGTCGTACAATTTATCACACACAATGTCGTCTTCCTTGTACATTCGTTCTAAATATGAGTCCAAGAATTGACTGCAACCCTCAGTAAGAAATTCATCGGCTGAACGTGGAAAGATCCTCTTGCGTTCTGCTTGATGCATGATGTTGAAGAGAGCTTCCGTTAAGCCAGGTTGTTTCTCCAGACACACGGCAACCAATTCCAAGATAGCGACTTTGACCTCAATCGCGCATGTCGGCAGAGTTAATCGAAATGCGAAGGTTTCTCGTATAGATGTTCCATCCATTCCCATGCAAACGAGCAAAGACATGGAGAATTCCTCCGCGAATTTTTTTAATAATCTTACAGCCATTTTTTGCAACGAAGGGCTAAACCAAACATACAGGTAATTAACAATGGTTGGTACTATAAGAAGTCCATTGGGTACTCTCGGAGAGGAATACAAAGCAATTTCAAGAGGCGACCGGTCGCTTAATTCTAGATTTAGAGATTTTCTAAACATTAACAGTCGATTGACTATCGACAGAGCTAGTTCTACACTCTTGATAGTCTTGAATCCTTTTCCATTGATCCAATTTGTCTCCGTGATCATTTTATTGTGCAATGTACGCTCGCCCGTCCGAAGTAATTTTAGCAGCGCATGACGCGGTTCTAAGTAGAGCAAACTGTATACTACAACAAGTTGCAACTCGTTGCGAATATCGTTTTTAGGTAAAGTTGAGTCCAGAGCTCGATGGATGCAAAACATACTCTTCAGCCACAAGTCGATTCTTTCTGCGTTTGATTCAAAATACCAGGAGTCCAGCTTAGGTAATACAGCTTGTAGCAGAAATACCATGCCTGGTATTTCAATGGTGTACATGGCTTCTCTACTATGCTTGGTGATTAGATAATTGTACAATGTGTCTAGAAACGCGCGTAGAATGGGATACGTATGTTCGATGGTTTCTATACCTGAGAGCCACGACGCGATGAGACCACTGTCAAAGGAAATCGCTTCCGCAAAGTCTAACGGCTTTTGATACCAATTATTAAATTTTGGATAAATACCAGATCGCATTCGCGAGAGAATGTCTTCGGGATATCTCAAAACCAATTTTGATGAAATGCTGATGCAGACGGCAACGATTCTGTACAAGTTCGGTGGCAGTGTTGGATATGAGAACCGATTAATAATTTCGAAACTTAATTCTGTGGGAATAACCATGCTCGATGGTATATCAATATTTTTAGCCAATAACGCTTCGACCAATTTCAAACCTTGACAAACATTTTCTGGTAAATCAGTCTTCACCGCGCTGATATTTGCAATTCCGCCACTCGCTTGAGAAAATAATTGTTCTATTTTATGATGCAAAGCATTCCAATAACTTGCCTCTGTACGAAACAAAACTACTTCCTTCTCATTGGACAACACGGTAATGTTCTCGCGCACGCAGTTGTTTGTTATAGTAAACGAGTTCTTTTGAATTATACAATCTGCTTCGTATGGCCGTAACGGCTTACTGTGATCTCTTCGACGAGGAACTTCTATAGTCACTGTTTGTAGATTATCCAACTCCGACGCGATCTAAATAAAGAATAATTTATTTTATTTAACACATAATAAATATTAAGTATTTAACAAATTCGATATAAATATTCGATATATATATATATATATATATATATATATATATATATATAT